AGGTGTTGTAATCGGTGTAGTATGAGCCGCATTCGGACCAGGAACTTGCAGCGTGCCACGTCAGCTGGCTAAGGCCGCTTCATACTTTGCGGTCGCGTAAACTAGCGTTTTGAGCCTCCGGCAGCGTCAGCGACTGTGAAAGTATAGATATCGATCTAGCGTCCACCATCGTGCACCCAGCGTTCTCCCAGCGTTCGCCGGTCTGGAGGCCTAGCGAAGTTTAGCGTATTCGCATATAGCGTCTAACAGCGTAGCCTACGTCCGAGGAATAGATATGCGGCGATGGAGGGTACAGACAGCTGATAGAGTATATGAAGATAGTAAGATCGTCAATTGTCTGAGGTTCCCATCCCTCGAGACCTCCCCAATACTACAACGGCAGAACAGCGAAATACACTCAATCTTATTCGAACACGCCCCCAAATATAGGGGGAACAACTGAATAGGGCTGACGCGCGTTGCTGGCGGCAGACGGCACGAACAGGCGGGTTGCGCCGCATCCGGTCGCGCGGCTGGCGGTGGCAGGCGAAGACCTCGTATGAGTCACACGGCATCTTATATATCCGGCGCGCACGTGGGCGAATCCTGCAATGACGAAGCTTAAGCAAAGTCACTGTTCAGCTTACCATTAAGTTTCCATCTACTAGACAACCCAGAGGCTTACACCTCCCCAATTCACCCAAAAACGTCCGTCCTCGGACGTTGTAAGTGCCCCGGGGGGGGGAAGCTCGTGAAGAGAGAAAAAAGAAAAAGCCCCAAATCGAACCACCAAAAAATAGGAAACGAAGAATAATTGGAAATAACCCCATGAATCGAAAGTCCCAATGAAAATAAAAATGAAAAGAGAACGAAAAAAAATACTTACGGAAAAGAGAGGAGGGGAGCCTTACGCAAAGACGTCCGGGAGAGACGACGCGTCGATGAGCACTCCATTCTCGCGAGACCAACGGAGGATAAGGTTCCAGTTGGGTAGGCGGGCCAGTGCCTGGGCATGGCCGAGAATGAACTGGCCGTGCTTGCTGCGTGTGAGAGCGACGTTAAGCCGTCGAGGAACTCGCCAGTTTCCTCGTCGATGGTGGTGCGAGTGGACAGGATGATGACGATATCCATTTCGCGGCCCTGTACGGAATCCACAGTGTGGAGTTGTACGCGGAGGCGACGGGAGAATTGCTCCAGGCGGCGCTGTTGGTCCTTGTAGAAGGTGATGACCGCTATCGACGAACCCAGAATGCCCTTAGCGAGGAGTGCCGTAATTAGCTCTTCGCAGCAGCAAGCCTCCATTTCGTTGGAATGAGACATGGAGGGGGAAACGCGGGAAACCCCGTGGACGTTCACGAAGAGGAAGGGGATGTGAGGGTTGGGCAACGTCACGCGACGTGTCAGAAGTTGACGCTGCCTGGCGTCGATGCCGCTGACCAACGTGCCGTTATAGACGAGCCGGTTAGGAAGATCGAGGAGGGCGGGATGCGCCCGGAAGGTCGTAAGGAGGGGCGCAAGAGGCACGTCCTGTTTGCTCGTGAGCACTTCCATGACTCCCTTCGCTCCTAAACGAGCCGCTGGAGACGATCTTGAACAGCGGATGTGCGGGGCGAGTTGATTAACGTCGCCGATGTAAATATGCCGGGCGTTCGGAATCGGGACAGCAGCGCCACAAACGCTGGCTCCGGGATTTGCGACGCTTCATATATCCGGCGCGCACGTGGGCGAATCCTGCAATGACGAAGCTTAAGCAAAGTCACTGTTCAGCTTACCATTAAGTTTCCATCTACTAGACAACCCAGAGGCTTGTCTGGGCGTCTTGAGTAGCGACGGAGGCAGACCCGCTGGAGTATGGCGCAACTAGGCCGGGGGCACCGGCTGTCCGTCAACCTCTGTAATTGCGCGCACCTGCTCAGCCCTTGTTGGGGAGATGCTGGTGCACGCTGTAGAACGCTAAGGCTAGAATCGATACCTATACGTTTACCACCGCTGGCGCTGCGGACGCTCGAAAAGCTCTGAGCGTTGCCGCAGAAAGGTATGAACGCTCTAATAGGTACACGTGTTGTGCGCAATGACGACGTCTAAGACGGCTCTAACTACAAGCGGTGTGCTCCTTCTGGCTCACAAAATATACTGTTCTATTTTGCGAAGTGGCTCTCAGACCAGCCAAAAGACTTGGTTCTAGCTGGGATGTGGCAGGTACAATACTTGTGGTTTAGCGATTCTTACTCATTTACTGGTGTCGACAACCGCCGGTGTCTTGCTCGATTTCTCCAAACGAGAAGGTTCCGTTCGACAAAATTTGCTCTATTTTGATCACGATAAGAAGGTCGTTTCCTGCAACATCATCAGGCACGTAAAATGTCTCTCTGTATGATCATTGTACAAAGGGCAGGACTATGACTTCTGTCTCGATGTTTCTGAGTTTGCTCCTGTTACCAAGCTATTTTCCTTACGGCGCCAGACTTTATGTGACATGTGGCTATATATCGAATGGAGTTTTCGTTCAATTCAGAATGCGTGATTTAGGGATATAAAATTCGCGAACAGTGCTAAGTTAAGGGCAACATCATCTTATAGGTGCATCAGAAACGAATCTCATGCATTCCGAGCAAATCGACCCATAATAATGGCGTTTGTTCTTATCGTCGCAGAAGAAGAAAACGTTTTATTATTGAGTAATTACTTTTGTAAAGAAGATATTTTGTCGTATAAAACAGCGCGCATAGTTCTTCTTCTCAATATTCCGCTCCCATCAAATTTTAAGTGCTTGAAGTGGAGTGTGAAGTCGACAAGATTGAGCCTTTTTGACACCCTCTCTTTTTTCTATCTAATTGAGCAGTTTAAAGTGCAAAGGCCATTTGGTAAGTACCAGGTTGGCGTGAATATTCTGTCATACTTTTTTGAACTCAACATACTTGCTCACACTCTGAGAAGATGTTGTCGATAATGTGAGTAATAATACCCAGTAAGGTACTCTGTCTATAAGTACCACTCAGTTTGGCTCCCACTCCTTTTCTTTTGCTACAGAGACAAGAATGGCAACCGGCACCATGCGCACTGTTCCTCGGAGTACTCGCTCAAACTCTTTCTTCTAACACCCTTACTCGAGCGTAGGAGCTGCTGGTGCCAAAATAAAGGGTCTGCATAAGGAAAGATGTCTCCAACCGGACAATCTTCACGACATTAATGCTTCAAAGCGGGAGTCTACAGCTTCAGAAGACAAAGTGAGAATCAATCTCTACACAAAGCAGTTGCGAGATCTGAATTGAATTGTTGGTCAAGGGGAAGAGACTCTCCGCACAGTCTGCCTTCGACATGACAGCGCAGCCCACCCCGTCCAAAAAAGGTCTAGCCGAACCACGTGCAATAGAGCTGGATGGTTCTCTATCGTAGCCCAGACATTGCTCTCTCCAACTGCTGAGTGTCTTCCAAACTAGCTCGCTACATGGACGAAAAGCTTCACGACTCCATCTTGAAGTCGAGATGGTGTCCAACTTTGCGTCATGTCGGCCTGCATTGTGAAGAGATGGCATCCATTGGGTGCTCAAAACCTGGCAACAACACCGCAATAACATTGCTGTATATTTTGATCTTTTACTCTTCTCTATAAAAAGAAAGCCTGATTTTGAAAATATGACAGAACTTTCACGCCAACCTAATATATGGGCAGGAAAGGTTGTCTTACAGAGGCACAAAGGTGTTAAAATGAATCGAATACTTCAATTGTGACCTCACAGACAGGCTCCGATGCGGATGCCCTATGCAGTCCAGCTGGGAGCTTATTCGTAAGAGGTCCAGGCCAATAATGGGAAGGGGGGGATTGGCAAATTTCATGGAAGGCCTCCACATTTCCATAAAGCATCACCTTCACTTGATGGGAGAGGCTCACAACTTGCTTGTAATCGCCTGAACAAACTCAAGCTGCTCTAGAAAGCGTCACTCCCTGATCATACACATCACCACGCCTGAACTGTTTCTGCAATTAAGGAGCCTAGTTTAAGCGCAAAAAGGTGCTGTCGGAAACCCTCATTGATGTCCCGACACCATTCTAGGGAATCTGAAAATAGACGGAAATAATAAACTAGATCAGAATACTGTCTATCAAACAACATAGAACACATTTGGAAAAATCCTCCCCTCCACGCAAAATTATTAGAAAGAACGGTGCATTACTTATGGGCCAACCCAACATGCCGCCTTTTCGCAGTTGCACTCGAGGCATGACCTACCAAGGAGAATCGCCGTTCGTTACCAGTGTGGTCCAAAAGGTGTGGCGTTAGTTCCGAGTAGCCACGACCACGAAGAAAGAGGCATTGCAAGCAGAGGGATGTACGCAAGGGCTGCCCTCGTACAATGCGGCAGTTCACCAGCGACCAATATCGTCGACCAGCGTTCCGAGTGCTCCACAGCGACAGCGACTAGGATATTATAAATATCGATCTGGCGTCTACCTTTGTCTGCCAGCGTCCTCCAGCGTCTACCAGCGCCCGGGAGAGTAGAGTATGTCGCGATAGAAGGGTAGCAGAAGCAGGTAAAGTATGGGCACATACGAGGGTGGCTAACTGTTGTAGAGAGCATGGCTCGATACGGGGGTACCAGCTGTCTGCTACCCTTCTATTGTGCCATATTCTCTGCTCCCGGACGCTGGTGGACGCTGTAGTAATTATAAAAAACGAGCCCAACAATTGGCACGCAAGACCAAATTACTTCACGATGGTTAGAGCTTGCAACTTGGATATGTGATTAAGGGAAATTCTTACCTTGTTTTGTGGTGAACGGAAACATGAATGCTACATCCAAATGAAAGTATACCCACTAATAGCGCAGCCACCACCACATTAAAATGAAGTACGTGGCCACGTTGGACCGCGTCTTGCGGTCATGCGATTTGTAAATATACGATCACATCATTGATTGGCAGGGTTACCACCCTGTTCAAAGCTTTGGCTATCTCATTAGAAGGAAAAAGTCTTCCACTCGTAAAATTCTTCAGGAATGTCACATTTGACGTCGACTACATGTGCTATAGCAGGGACTTCATTGCACAGAAGTTCATCCTTCCCCAAGGAGGTAAGTTCACATGAATTCCTAGCGTCAGTGTGCTCGGTGAGTCACTTTTCCAGATTACCTCCTGTTATGCGGTTATAGAAGCTCTCAGGAAGGGATGGTGTGCCGCCTTGTTCCTTACTATCTTTATGACCAGGCAGCTGAACCTCTGAAAGAATTTTTCATTGATACACATCGAATAATTCTTTGTCTTACGGGAGGTAAGTCTAAACTTCGCTCACAAAGGCGCCCTGCTCAGCCCACTGAGGTCAGTAATGAGAGTAGATGCGTTTCTAGTGTTTGCGAGGTTGACAAAATGAGGACCCCATTCTGCTCGTTCATTTTTGGCAATACACTTGATAACCATCATCACCGATCACGAGACAACGCCAGGGAAACGCTTTCAACTCTTCTGTGCTGCAGGGAAAAGACAGCAAATAGTGAGGTGGCGTTGGCTGTCATAGTCAGAGCAAAAGTTCGCGGCAAAGTCGAGGACGTTTGGGCCTAGCGCTGACTTGCCTTGTCACAAAACGCTCCCATCATCGGCGTAGTGTATCCAAAGTCTGGTTTCCATTCACCCTCAACACCCAGCCAAATTTTGCACCCACTGCCTCTTCAATTCGTGCAGCGTCTGTAGGCTGCGTACATACTTTGCAGCAGCATCCACTTAGCAAACAATAGCGTCCACTAGCGTTCCCAGCGGCCGGCAGAGCAGCGATTAGGAAAGTTATAGATATCGATCTAGCGTCTGTCGGCGTCTACTTAGCGCTAGCAGCATCCTTGAGGGCAAGGGTCAAGTACCAGTACCGCTCCGTAAGTGTTCAAAAAATTACGAAAAAAACGCCGATCCGCGTTTTTTTCGTTTTTTCGTTATAGAGCTGTTCTTTTTGATTTTTTATATGGATACCCATATATAATTTAATTTAGAATCAGCTCGCCGAGCTCTATCCGACGGTATGCTCATATTCTACGAAATTGGTTTTTTGCTGGCGCCATTTTGGCGCCACTTGGCGCCACCTTGGCGCCACTACTTTTTCCAACAAAGTCTGTATAAACTCGATTACTGGGGCTACTCAAAGCCCTGTTTACGAAAATGACATTCATTTCTCGCCGTGGCGCCATTTGGCGCCATTAGGTGCCGATTTGGCGCCACTAGCGCCACTTTGGCGACGCCTTGGTCGGCTCAGACTGCATGTATTATAATGAGCAAGTGAATGTGAGCTGTAAAGACATGTAGCAATCACGTGAACAAGCGGCTACGGTGAGCTGAGAGCCGCCAGCGCCGCAAGCTCACGTGATTTATGTATGCTCTGCAAAGACGATCACGTGACCATTCCACAAACCAGGCTGCGAGTTTATAAAGATTTTGGTGAAAAAAGTAGTGGCGCCAAATTGGCACCAAATGGCACCGAACGGCGCCATGGCTAGGAATGAATGTTACATTCGTGATAGGACACCATTATGCAATGTTTACATGATTTTTTTGGGAAAGGTCGTGTCGCCAAAGTGGCGCTTAGTGGCGCCAAATCGGCACCTAATGGCGCCAAATGACGCCACGGCGAGAAATGAATGTCATTTTCGTAAAAATGGGCTTTGGCATTAGCCCAGTAATCGAGTTTATACAGACTTTGTTGGAAAAAGTTGTGGCGCCAAGGTGGCGCCAAGTGGCGCCAAAATGGCGTCAGCAAAAAACCAGTTTCGTAGGATATGAGCATACCGTCGGATAGAGCTCGGCGAGCTGATTCTAATTATATATGGGTATCCATACAAAAAATCAAAAAGGAACAGCTCTATAACGAAAAACGAAAAAACGCGGATCGGCGTTTTTTTCGTAATTTTTTGAACACTTACGGCGGGTATGTATTGGTATCGTTGGCCGCGTCCCACCAGCGTCGTCTAGCAGCGCCTGGGAATGGAGAGTATGGCGCGATAGAAGGGTAGCAGGAGACAGCCATAGGAAGGTAGACAGCTGGTACCCTCCCATAGCACCATACTGTCTTCCAGCAGCCTGCTGCTGGCCGCTGGTGGACGATGGCATACGCTAGATAGGTATCTATACTCTCCTAGTCGCTGACGCTGCCGGACGCTCGGAACGCTAGTGGACGCTATTGGTAGCTGATGAACGCTGCCGCAAAGTACGAACGCTGCCACATGCATCCTATATAGGCTGTCCCGTCGACCGTTCCATGTCCAGATTTTCGATATACTGCTAATACTTGAGAGTACATATCACTGCGTATTTTCTGAACCACTTGTGTTCAGATGTACGGCTTTATACCGGCGGTCATCCGTTTGTCTTCGGCTCCACTATGACATTCCTTCTCTATAGAGACAATCCGTTGTCTATGGTCCACTATATCAATTATACACTACAAATTGACATAGGCAGTGCATTGCAGGACAACGAGCGGTACATCACTCCAAGTGAGATCCCAGCTGTGCTTATTTCGATGAGAACGGTCGTGATCTGGTAGACGGTGAGACTAGTGCAGGGAGAAAGTTGAAGACGAGATGTATCCTCACCTCCGAGAACGGTTCTCGCCATGTGCGAGAAGTGCGTTACAAATGTGACACTCGTCACCTGAACCCGCGGAAATGAGGATGGAAGGTGGAATTCCGAACGGTGTTCCGATCGCACCCGCGCTATTTTTATGGTGCAGCGCTTGCGCTGATACCAAAATCGTGCAACGAACGCGTGATTGTAGGTAAAGAAGAATGTAGAATTCGGAGGGCGCAAACAGGTAGCGCATTTGGCTACCGTTAGAGGTGCGTGCGGCAGCGTGGGCGGAGTAAGGAGACGCACTCGAGCATCACTGCCCTCCAGCCCCGTTCCCGCTCAATTTTGAGAGGACGATGTGGCACGCTACTGCAGCTGCAAACCCATTCACATCGTGTTCTGCAAGGAGTGTGGTAGTGATATACAAAGGTAAGTTGAGGCGGAGATGGTGTAATGGCATGCTTACCTCGCGGGGGTCGAATACCCTTCGGCCTCCCCACAGGACTAGCCAAGCCTTCTACCCTCCGTGGACGGTAAATTTTTACCGGGCTCGGCTGGAAGATGAGAACACTGATCTGTACATCAGCCGCAAATCATTCTATAAGCCACATCGCGCTACGTCTCTGAATGGAAGCAGAATGTGTGCCGCCCCAAAAAGGAAAAAATCCCAAAAAGGAAAAAATCTCAAAAAGCCCTTGATCAAGGGCGTAGACTCTATCCTTTTTATCCTACTATCCAAATGGGGAGAAAAAAAAACGTCTGAAGTGTATGTGCATTGTCACCAATGCACCCGCCCATACAGGTAGATTGCTCAAACGGTGCGAGGTACACCTGATAGGACCAAAAATATCATTCAGTCTGAGCCATTTCCCCAGATTGAGAATACGAGTAGTCTCATCGTCAACCGATCATTATCACAAGTACTAGTGTTCATGTGACATGTCTTACCCTCCCTGCGTTTTAAGAGTATGCCCGCATGAGAACATTTACGTTGCCACAACATCCCGAGTGGATTCCATGGTTCAGCTCTATTCCCAATCTCTTCAACACAGGACGGTTTGTTCTACTCTGGGAAGAGGTATGCGCACTGATCTAGTGCATAGGAACGAAATCAGTGAATGCTGTCTTTCTAGCCGAAACGGAACTATTCACGAAGGCGTAAAGGAAGAACCACTGTATTTTTACTCGATCTACGAACTACAAATATGCACGTGATTCACACATCTTTACTCAAGTAGGCACTTTTCAGAAATTTCGGAGTGGCACTCTGTCCATTGTTGACACTTCCATCACTCATTCCGTTGTCCACGTTTCCATTAATGGTTCCAGCAATGGCGCCCTCTTTAGCTGTTACTCGAGAATCGCAGCAAAAGCGCTCCAGTGAAGACGAGGCCGAGGCAGAAGGGTATCG